GCAATCGGCGATCCTTTCCCTCTGCTTGTGTTACTTGTGCAATCTTTGAAAAATTCCAAAGCCAGGATTCTCTGATCAAACAAGTCCAGAGAGTGCACAGCACAGCACAGCACAGCACAGCGTACAGAGTTCGAGAGTACAGAGTACAGCAGCGGATTTAATTGAGATCAGCGGAGAGTGTGTGAAAAACCGCGAAACGCTTTGGAAAATTTGTTGCATTTCCCCGCAGCAGGCGGCTGGCTGCGGCTGCGGCTGCGGCACCAAACCGCAGCGCAGCGCAGCGCAGGGCAGCTTCGACTTCCGCTAGGGGGTTTTGCCAATCCCAATACCAATCTCTGTCTCTATCTCAATCCCAATCCCAGTGTGCCAGTCGAAGAGCAGTGTCTAATCTTAAACATGTGGGTACTCGTACGCGTTGGCTAGCCAACATTAACATATCGTTAGGCGATCTCTGGCGATCTTCGAACTGGTATCTGTGTGATCCGTGTGATCCGTGGGAAGTTTGCCACAGAGCCATTAAATCGGTGGAAACTCCATCAGAACTTTGCCCAAGCAAGAGCCATCGATTTGGGCCAATGCCGCAAGCAAGCAGGCTTAATGGCAGTTGCAAGTTACGAATAATTCCCGAACAAAAAAAAAGGAACTCATGAACTCATGAACAAATATGTCATAATTGTAGGGTAATTATTATTTATGCTGTCACACTCGATTATAAATCTGATATTTGCCAAAAGTCTTACCATATTTCAACCCTTTTTTGGCTCTGGTTCTTTGGTTCTTTGGCTGCTGCCCCTCGATCATAATTCGGTATTTGCATAATTTCATAATTCCAATACAATAACCAATTGTCCGATCAATCCACTGATAAACCAACTACATGCGTTCCATCCCGTTGCGAGAATCAATAAAACTGTTGGCCATATATCAAACATTCATATCTCCAAAAATGCTAAGCCCATTAAAGCATAGAACGAGTTTGAATCTGCACTGTGAGAGACAGAGAGGTGGACAAACAAAAGGGGGTAAGGTAATGAAGACATTACCGAAACACAGAGACAATTAAAACAAAAAAGAAAAAACAGAAGACATTTGTCAGATGGAACTGGAACCCAACAGACAACATATCAAACAGCGCAATACAGTAGAGGAGTAGAGGACTTCTTCGCTTCCATATGCCCATGAGAAATTAGCGAAACAAGTTTTATTGTCATCTCTCCCCTCTCCACTACCAACAAATGAATTTCTAATTTTTCGCAACTGGCAGATGATTTTTTGCATTTGGCATAGGAGAAGCATGCGAAGAGCTATACCGATTTAGCCATGAACGGCATTGGGTTTCTGTTCTCCAAACATGCCATCCAAAATACCAATAAAAACTCTCTAAAACTAAGAATACAAATGAATTCGCTTTCATTTTCCAGACATTCCGCAGATCCCAAGCAACTATGGATAATAATAGAGATCCGAGCATTTAGTATCTGATGGAAAATCTGTTGTAAACAATAAATATTTTCCACCTTCTTTTTCATATAACAACAACAGCAACAGCAACAAAATGGTGGCTCCTGCTGCTCATCAAAGCTATTTTTACAACGAGTAGTACTCGTGAATACTCTCGTATTCGTATTCGTATTCGTATTATAATGAAACTTGAATAGTCATCGAATATAATGAATACGTCTCAGTCTCAATACCATGCCAGCGGACTCGAACTCGCACCCAAAGGCGAACCGATGTGTGATGTGATTCATTGGTTTATCTGAAGTATTATGCCCAAATCTGTGGCTTGTAAGCCATCAATTTACTAATTGTAATGTTGGCCATTCAAATATTTAACAAAATAAGATGAATTCGTGGCTTAATCTTGTGTATCTTTATTGTAGACGCGACGCGACTTCTTTGGTGTAGGGATACGTCGACAAAATGTAAATTTTTCACACATAATTACAATAACAATAACGATGTGGCGGCTGGCAAAACAAAATGAACTGGGGGATCCAGTGCTTTGGCCGTTGTTTCCGACTAACCTAAGTCCGAGCTGTTAAATCAAAAATATGCAAATTAGTTTTGAGAGCGAACACGAGTCTAAATCCGAGACGAGACGAGGCGAGACGAGGCGAGACGAGACGAGACTCTGACGAGAGTTCGACTCTGGGCCTGTCTCTGCCCATCTCTGAGGGTGATTGATATGTGCTGGTTATACAGTCATTTGGCCAAAATGATGCAATCAAATCTATGTAAATGCGAAACGGGTTGACTTCTCTGACATTTTGAGGCCTGACAGCCAGCCAGCCAGCCAGCCAGCCACTAGTCTCTCCCTCCTAGAGAGGGGCTACTACCTGGCATTATTTAGTAGCTAGCTAACGTTTCCGTCTGATTTTTTTCTTCTATTTTTTTTATCTATTTACGACTTTTGGGCAATTAAACAAAGTTGAAAAGTCAAAAAGTCAGCGCAAATGTTACTCTTTATTTTTATTTTTTATTGTGTTTTTTAAGCAGTTACCGTTTTTTAGCTGCAGCCTCCTTGCACGGCAAGGGAAAAGGAAAATCGTGTGCTAAAAACTAGCGACCTTGACGCTGTTTTCGCAGGAAAGTAATTTTTTACGCAACTCTACGCAGCAATTGACTTTTTTATATGAGGTCCTGGACCAGACACCCCGTCCCTATGCCGTGTCTCAAGGTGAAACATATGTACTAGCAACAGTCGGCCGGTCGGTTTTATCCCTTTTCCACTTAAAAAACGTGTGCAAATGGGTGTATGTGGATGGGTGGACATTTGGGTTGCTCTGTTTTGGCGCTGGTTACGGGCAACTGCTGCTCGACTTTTTATGGTTACGACCGACCGACCGACCGACCGGACCGGCCTGACTTTATGACTCGACTCCTCCTCGCATGCCCATGCCCATGCCCGTGTGCGTGGCCGAGCGTCTGCCATCGAGACATCCGTCTCCTCCGAGTTTAGGTTACTTTTTTAGGCCAATTCTTGTGGCTACCTAAGCTCGCGATTTCGTTACCTAATCGCGGGATCAGCTTACCTAAGCTGCAGATTATCCTAGGATCATAATTATGATGATGCCCGGTGACTGGTGACTGGTGACCGGTGGCCGTGTCCGCCGACGCGACTCTCAACTCGTCGTCTCCCGCGGCTGGTTTTTTGTTGCTCCGCTCCGCTCCGCTCTGCTCTCTCTCTCTCTCTCTCTCTTTCTCTCACTGGGCCACAAGACCAGAACGACCAACGGCTGAGAGCGGCAAAAAACTTAAGCCAGGGGATTAAACCGGATTAAAGTCACATTGTCCTTATTTTTTTGCTTTCTGTTTCTGTTGGTTTTATGCCCCTCCTCTCCCTCCTTTCGGGCTAACTAATTACTCGGGGAAAATTACCCATTTGCGGAAATTCGCGAAAACGTTTGTGTTTTTTATATTTTTAAGAGAATTTTCGCAAACGCTGCTTCATTTTTTTATGGTGTGTGAGAAAAGCAGACAGCCAGAGATGGCCAGAACCGGGCAAAGAGTCAATAAAATTGAATCGATTAGAACAAAAAAAAAAAGAAAAACGGTGGAAGGTCCGAAGGAATGCGTGAGGGAGTGAGGTAGAGAGAGAGAGCTCATTTCGAGGAGGGTTCTATATGTATTTTTTTGACTTTTTTGCAAGCCTTTGTTGCCACTTTTTACTCGGAAGAGCCTCCGGTTGATGCAACCGAAACTAAACTAAGGAATCTTCCAGGAATCCACATCCTAACGATGTTTTTTACATCACCAAATACATTTGATATGGCCAGATACAACGTAATATCGGCAGAGATACTCCCAAGCTATAAATTGCTAAATTATAAAGTCAAGGATGTTCGTTTCTCCCACTCAAAAGAAACCCTTTCCGGGCACAATGCAGTTCCATAAAAGGGTTAAACACACAAAGGAAAAGGCTTCATAAAAGGGTTAGGTTGATGTGTGTGTGGTAGCTGGAACAGGTAGCCCTTAACTTCCTTTTTGGCTCTCATAAAAAGAGTTAAGTGCAGCCATAAGGCTCTTTTGTATGCAGAAAATAGGAAGTGAAGCTGCAAAGTGACTTCAGTTGTGGTCAAATATGGAATTAGAATGTTATTAAGAGTTTATTACGTATTTTAAGTGGGGGGAAAAATGTGTAATTAAAGCAGAGACGTAGATGAATCATATGGGAAATTCATAATAAATAAAGTATATATTCCCCCAATGAATTTGGGGAAATATCTGCCAAGTAAATTCCAAGTTCCCGTATTTAGTGTTGCACTGGAAAGATATATTGAGATTATATTGAATGAATTATGAGGCAAGCGGTTCCGATGGGCAATTTATATAGATTTTATTCAGTAGAATATAAGAATATAAAATCCTAGCTGCCTTCAAGCAAAACCCCCACCCTCCGATTAACCGACGGAGCTTCCTATCCATGAAATTTGTTAAGCTCCAAACTCCACAAACCTCCTCCAACCATTTCGATTTTCAGAGCGATCGTAAAGGCTCCGCCCCATGTTAAAAATGAAGTCAATAGCATTTGAGAGTGTGAGTGTGAGTGAGTGTGAGTGTGCGAGAGATACAATTCCAGCCGCCCTTATAGCAGGCGAGTGGAAGTGGAGTGTCTCTTTAATAAATAACCGAATAACGAATAATATCAGAGCAATGCAAATAGAGCTCGCTCCCCACCAGCAGACAGAGAGAGCGAGAGCAGAGAGAGAGAGAGAGAGATTCATTCACAGGGCAACTAACAGCAGAGCCGTAACAGTGGCCTAACAGCGGCTTAACATTCCACTCAATCGACCAGAGGCATGACTGCGTGTGTGAGTGTGTGTGTGTGTTTCGATTGCTCTCCGGATGTTCCGCTCTCGATCTCCCGCTTTGCTGTGCTGTGGTGTTGTGGTGGTTGTGCGATCGTGATTTATCAAGGTGTGCGTGTACATAAGGCTGAAGAGTTTGGGCCAGTACGGGGCGACACGACACACAGAAATGCTTCATGCCAGAGACGGGTTTAAGCCAGAAATCAGTCGCAGCTAGTGGCCCGAAGAGTCAGTTACAGTGATACTACAGACCGAAAGAGTAGACCAGAGACCAGAGCGCGTTACGTAGTGGAGTGCCTCTCGAATATCATCGAATATCGTGTGTGTCGCAAGCGTCAAGATCAGATCAGCGGAAAGAGACTGAACACCACCATCGACAAAGTGCTAAGCCAAAATCGAAATCAAACGAAAAACTAAGTGCAAAAAAAGTGGAAAAAGTGCTGCTGCATCCACGCGTGCAATTAAAAAGTCATACACAAAAAAAAGACACAAGTTCCAAAGCCAAAATAAAAACCCACAACACAACAACAAAATAAAGGTAAGTTTTCACAGTTCGCAGATCTTTTGGGAATGAAAGAGCGAGAGCGCATAGATAGCCGTAGAGGGAGATAGCGAGCAAAGTCAATTCACGTTTTTTTTTTTTGGGTCGCGCCCGTCGGCACAGCAAATTTTTATGATCTCCTGCACTACTTTGATTTTTTACAGTTTCGCGCGAAAAACATTTCCATCTTTCCTTCTATTTTGTTTTTTTTTTTTTGTGGCACACAGAACAGAATTTTCATATTTTCGGTTTATCTTCGTTTTTTTTTTTGTTTCTTTCTTTTTGTTGACTCGCGAAATGTGTTTTTATGGCCAGACGTCAAGGTCTGGACGGGACTGCGACTGCTGCATTTTTTAAGGGAAATGTAATGGAAATTGCACAGGGCCCCGTACTGCCGTGCCGCGTAATGACTTCATCTATAAAAAAAAAATAGAAAACAACAAAAAAACAGTACACACTGAGAGGGAGGAGGGCAAAATTGCTACCTGAGTTTTATGACTGGACAGCGCGAAAAAACGAAACTCTGAAAAATGAACGCATAGTAGGGTTGCATAATCCGGCAGCTTAAGTTTTTTGCCTGTCGTAAAAAAAAGCCATTCGGATGCCTTCGAGGATCGTGGCGGAGAGAGATTCTTTTCTGTACTATAAATGTCCTGGGCCGTGACGAACCAGCATCAGTTGCTTAGCAGCGTCCCAAACGAACAGATCGCGACAGAGCAGCAGCAGCAGCAGTGAGCAATCTCTCAGAGAACAAAAATAAGCGAAGATTTAACGAGAACGAACAACCCCTGGCAAGATGGTGTTCAATTTGGTTAGTGTTCAGAGCAGTGCGACAACAACTCAATGGATTACCAGTGGATTAAACCCTTACTAACGATGGACTCTCTCTCTCTCTACTAATTACAGATGAACCAGACATGCAAAGTGTGCGGCGAACCGGCAGCGGGCTTCCATTTTGGCGCCTTCACCTGCGAGGGCTGCAAGGTAAGTTTCTATCGAATGAAAAAGTGAAAAAGTGAATGAATGAATGGGAAAAGGGAATGGAATTGCATACTCCTGCCTTGCCCAGGCCCTGGCACTGCCACTGCCCAACTCTTTATCGATGCCACAACTAACCGAATATCTACCTCATCTCCTTCCTGCCTTTGCAGTCATTCTTTGGCCGATCGTACAACAACATCAGCACCATCAGCGAGTGCAAGAACGACGGCAAGTGCATCATTGACAAGAAGAATCGCACCACCTGCAAGGCGTGCCGCCTCCGCAAGTGCTACAATGTGGGCATGTCCAAGGGCGGCTCGCGGTACGGCCGCCGCTCCAACTGGTTCAAGATCCACTGCCTGCTGCAGGAGCACGAACAGGCCGCCGCTGCCGCCGGCAAGGCACAGTCCGCCGGCGGAGTTACCTCCTCGCCGGTCGGCTCCCCACACACCCCCGGATTCGGGGACATGGCCGCAGCCGCCGCCCATCTGCACCACCAGCACCAGCAGCAGCAGGCCCAACAGCAGCAGCAGCAGCGCCACCCACACATGCCCCTCCTCGGGTATCCCAGCTACCTGGCCGAACCGTTCGGCGCCCGCCATCCCGCCGATGCCGCCGCTGCAGCAGCCCTGCCCTTCTTCAGCATGATGGCCACCCCCCAGTCGGCCTTCCAGCTGCCCCCGCACCTGCTCTTCCCCGGCTACCATGCCAGTGCGGCGGCTGCAGCGGCCGCGGACGCCGCCTACCGCCAGGAGATGTACAAGCACCGCCAGAGCGTCGACTCGGCCGGATCGGTGGAGTCGCAGAGCCGCTATACACCGCCCAGCGTGGCGGCTGTGCCCTCGCCCCCAGCCCGCCCTCAGACGCCCATCGATGTGTGCCTGCAGGAGGAGGATGTCCAGTCCGTGCACAGCCACCACAGCCACCATAGCCAGCATAGCCATCACAGCCAGACGACGACGACGCCGCTGATGCACCACCCCATCGCCATCCGGGCCACGCCCACCACCACCCAGCTGCCCGTGAGCCACTCCTCGTCGCACCACTCCAGCCCCATTCCCATGGCCAAGTCGCAGAGCAGCAGCCCCCTCAGCTTTGCCGCCAAAATGCAATCCCTGTCGCCCGTCTCCGTCTGCTCGATCGGCGGAGAGACCACAGTGCACCATCAGCAGCAGCAGCAGCAGCAGCAGGAGCAGCAGCAGCAGCAGTCCGCTTCGACAGCTGCCCAGGATGGACCCATGGACCTCAGCATGAAGACGTCGCGCAGCTCCGTGCACAGCTTCAATGACAGCGATGCCTGCAGCCTGCAGGACGAGCAGGAGCAGGCGCCGCGTCGCAAGTTCTATCAGCTGGAGGCCGAGTGCAGCACCGCCAGCAGCAGCAGCAGCTCCATCACCACCCACACCTCCTCGTCCTCCTCCTCCTCCTCCTCCGAACACGAGGCCATCAAGCGGCAGAAGCTGAGCGGCGGCGGCGGCCAGGAGGCGGTGGTGTCGTCTCCCTTTGGGGCAGCCACAGCGGCGGCACGCAGCGGTTTTGCGGTGGCCCACAATGCGGCCAGTGCGATGCGGGGTATCTTTGTGTGCGTCTAAGCGGATCGTTGGAGCGGTGGGAGGAGCCCCAGTTCCCTCTCATCCCTCCCTCCGCCCACCGTCCACCCTCCATCACTTGTTGTTGATTTTTTTAGTGTATTTTTGTTGTTAAATGTTAATTTCATGTGCGGGCCTCACTCGCACACGAGACAGAGCGAGGGAGATGGAGCGCCAGCGAGACAGAGATGGCGATAGACTGGTTTGCTGGAAAGAGATGGCCAGATAGTTGCATCGCACTCTCACTCACACTCACACACACACACACGCACACGCACACGCAGACACGTACTCGTACTCGTACACCTATTGAGAGCTCAAATCCAAAAATTATTTTTACAGCCAGAGCAAAGGTTTCCCCAATCCCCCCCTCCACCAACAAACAACAAAAAAGAAATTGTATATAATGTATCTTTATTTTGAATTGTATCTAAGAGGATGTCTAGGATCTATATAAGTATCATCCATTCCAAAAAAAAAGAAATTGAGAGAAGTAGTGAGAAAGTCCCACCCCACCCCACCCCAGCCACACCTCACCTCACCATCAAAATGCTATTGTACATAGAAAATTGTCATGTCTAAGGTTCGTTCTTAATTCTGTGCTAAGTATTTTATTATATTTTTATATTTTTAGTTGTAGTTGTAGTTACTATATATATACGTACATACATATCTATCTATGTAGATTGGCTTTTAAATTTATGCGAAAGAAAAGAATAAAAATTATTATGAAAATTTAAATCACAATTTGTTCAATAATTATTTTTGGCAGGGAAATATCACACAGGGAAAGTGTGAAAAGATATAGATTTATGAACATATCATATATCATGGGAATTAAATTTAGAATATCATTCGCGATATTAGTGTACCTGTCTTGTAATTAATTTAAGCAGGATAATTTTTAGAAATAAATAAAGGATTTTTCGTGGGAAATTCCATCAAAATGATCAGTAAATACGTTTTGCTTGAACAGTGCCTAAACTAAACATCTCATGCATAAAATCAAAATAAAGATCGAATTCTGGGCAAAATATACTTATCTTTCTATAGGTGTTTCCATGGGAATTTAGCTATGAAATTATCTTAATTAATATATTTAATTATTCAATTTATTAATTATATTAATAAATGAATTAATAATATATTAATTAAAATATATTAATTAAGATATTTTCATAGCTAAATTCCTAGCACCCAAAAGAAGAGCGGAGCCCTGCCCCTTTTGTATTCATATATACTCGCATCTATGTATGTCTGTCAGGTCTGTGGCCATAGCTATCTATCGGATGTATCTATTTGGCTGTCAGCAGCAGAGTTTGTTCTTTGGCTACCGCACATTCATGGGATCAAAGCTAATAAATTATTTTGGTATTCAGCCACCATTCCCCATTCTTGTTTCAAAATCAGTTCTGCTCCAAACAAAATATATATCTGATCGGGCGAGCGGTGTCTTTGCTCTAAACACGGGCCAAAAGCAGGGGCGTGGCCTGTCAATGGCAACACCATACAAAAAGAGGTGGATGGGGAGGGGAGGGGAAAAGCGAATGCTTTGGCATAAATTCAATCAACATTTTGCTGCAAGTCGATCGACGGACGGACGGACCGATGCCCGATGCCCGATGGCCGATAATAAAACCGATATAGCTGGCCGTTAAGTGCCTGCCTTTTGTCTCTCCCTCTCTCTCCCTCTGTCTGCCACTGTTTGTCGTGTTGCCTATTGCAATCGATGGATGGATTGCTGTAAATTATAAATGCCACAAATGTTACGCACAGATATTTGTCGTTCGCCTCTCGCGGGGCCTTCTACTATTTGATATGCTGTGGTCATGAGCATTAGGCCTATGGGTCGGGTCCTATATGGCCCAAACAGCGCGTTAGCCATCCCTACAGCAGAGCAGAGCAAGAGTACTGGCGACTGGCGACTTGCGACCGACCGATCGACCGATCGACCGACCACGTGCTGCTTCAAATAATAAACTTTATATTAACACATACAAAAGTCATACGCCTCGTTGATGGCCAGAATTTTAATCACTTAATTAGGGAGTCAGTGAGGCAGAAGGCACAGAGCCAGCGGCCACAGCCACAGCCACAGCCAGAAGCAGAGCTCTACCGATCGGCCCAAACTTTGTTTATGGCCTGACTGTGCCCCGTAAAGTGGATCCAATGCGGCGTTGAATGATGAATGAGACAACTGGCAGCGACACGAGAGAGCTAGGCACAGGATTCAGTCGGTATCTCGGCATCGGTATCTTGGATGCAAAATCGGGCATTACATTACGATTATATTCTCCGCTGCTGACTTCTGGCCATGTCAGATACGTTGACGCCTTAACGGATGACAATAAACCATCGAAACAGTCGAGAGAGGGGTGGGGAGCAGTCACATATCATCAATATGCATAATGGGGCAGCTGGAGTGGGGGTGGCGGAGGGCAGACGGAGGTAGCGCACGCCATTGTGCGTTTTGACCGCCGATCACCGGCGATCACTCACTGACGATCCGATCCACATTCCAACGTGTGTTTTGTCGTCATTGTTTCTAAATTTATTTTTATAGTTTATTAAACAGTCATAGTAAACAAAACAAAGAGCGACAGCAAGACAGCAAGACAGAAAGGCAGAAAATAAATAAATAATAAAACAGTTTTGGGCTCAAGAGAGGCTCAAAAAAAGCTACAAAAAGTGCATTAAACTTTTCAAAATCAATTAAATGGGCAGAATTTATGTTTAAGATGTGAAAAAACTAATGATAAGTTATTTAACTTATTCCTAAATCATCCTAGATATATTCTATAATTATTTGCTTGCTTCCAGCGACAGCTTTTCATGCCTCATTATTTGTTTTAATTTGACTCTGCATTAAAAAGGATTCAAGCCATAAATAAATAATAGATAATATAGCCTATGGCTGAATTCGATCTGTTTCTCTGAGATACTTCTAGTTTAGATCACAGCGCATAAAGTTCGTTGTTTAAGTCTTTAGTTTTCCTTCAGCCATAAAATGGAATAAATTAAACCAATCCGATTAGGCAAGCCCCCATTCTAGGCTAAACTACTCTTTAAATCCGATTTCAGTGGTATATCAATATCATTCGTCAAGTATCTGTGACCCCGTCGTTGCGTTCCGTTCCGTTCCCCACCCCACCCCACACCTGTCCCAACTCTGTCGCGGCTGAAAAAGTGGTTCATTTGTCTCATCATCGCGATCGCCCACCAATCTCTCTCCAATCAAAAAGCCATTTAGACAACAAAGCCAAAGGGCAGAGAAACACAGATACAAAATGAAACACAAGGCGGGGGGTTACAAAATAAAATCGAACCAAAAAGTATAACATTTCAAAATTTTATTGACTGTCAAAAAGGCAGGCGCAGGCGCAGGCGCAGGCCAGGCGCAGGCCAGGCGCCACATTGATGGCCCCATCAGGGTCGATGGTTGTGTAGACAAGCGGGCTAGAGGATCATATTACGATCGATACTCATGCTACATGGCGCCACGAAAGAACGCTTTCAAGATGCTTTATTGATGCTCTTCCCCACCTCTTCTAAGAGGTGACTCGCTGTGGCTGTGGCTGTCCATCAGTCTGTCTGTGTGTCTGCCTGTGTGTGTGTGTGAGTGTGTGAGTGTTTGAAAGATGCATTACTAATAGAGGAGTTCCGTGGAGAGGCTGGAGACAAAGACGCTGAGACTGAGGCTGCGACTGCGACTGCGACAGCGACAGCGTCTGAGCACATCTTTAAAAATAGTTCAAGACGCGAAGCACCTGCATTCGCTTTTTAATTATTTATCACCGTTCGCAATGCTAATGCTAATGTTCCTTCAGCTTTCAAATGAATGCATGCAAAGCATATATCGTATATGTATTATACGGCTCTAGAGTCTAGTGACTGGAGACGTAGGAACATGTTTATTAAATTAAATAATTGCAGAGCCAGTGGAGTGGCAAATTTGCATTTTAAGAACTGACAATGGAATGGAAGAGACAACTCGTAGAAATAATAATGGCAAATATTATTATTATTGACACATTATAATGGAAACATGTTTATGCACAGAATTTGCATTAAATTTTTGTTGAAAATGCAAAGTTGTCATACCGCAACCCCCATCATCCATCTCCCCATCCACCCATCTACCAGTGTGTGTGTGTGTGTGTCCGGTAGCGGCCTTAATTACTTCGAGAGACTTCTCTATACAGCTCCGCGCCCAAGGCGGGGGCATGGGGCGTGCCACAAATCACTGACAAATAGTCAAAACAAACCATGGCATGTGTCAAACGAGTGCGAGTGCGATTATCCATCTGTGTGAATATTAATGCCAGTCAGAGATCGTTAAAGCTGAAGGAGCTTCAGGAAGTGGCAGCTAGCAAAGGTTTCTTGGCATTCCATTCCCACTCTTAGGTGCATTTGGTATACCCCAAAAAGTTATCCCAACTCGCTGCCATTCCATCGCTTGACGGACAATTCCATTGTTCTTCCTTGCAGCAAGACATTAACCCACATAAAGCTGGCCCACGAAAGCAGCCGCAAGAACAGAGCAAATCACACAGCACACAGCATACAGCATACAGCACATGGCACATGGCAATACCCCGCACAATATCTGGGGCTCATCTTTATTGATTTTCGATTCCCCACCTTTAACCCCACCACAGCCCGCTCTGGCGCTTGGCTCACACGAGATCTGGAAAAGCTGGAGACGCCAAAGGGGATGCCCAAAGTCAGGCTCTGGCAGTCCGTAGCTGGCGCTGGTAATTAGTGATCTGGTGCACTTGATATGCACCTTAATTTAAACATTTCGTACACACCCAGCCGGGGCACGCATTGTGGATGGGTTCTCCTCCTTGTCCGTCCTTCTACCTCTCTCTCTCTCTCTGTCCTGACCAGTCCATTTGGGGCCCTTCTACTCGACTCGTGGAGCGTCTCCCTGGACAAGTTCTGCGTGTAGCGCATGCCGTTCGCTTGTTCTTTCTTGGCCTTTTGTTGCGGCTCATTCCCATTCTCATTCTCATTCTCATTCGCATTGCCTTTGCCATTGCCATTGCCATTCCCCCATTCCTTCTCTTGCCCTTCTCTTGCGCGCCGTGTTCTCGTTTAAACGTTTATTTAACTTAAACGAACTTTGCGTGTCGATTAAAGTGCTGCGATTAAGGTACGACCTGATCCGGTCTGGTCTCTTGTGGCTCTGGTATCTGTTTCGCTTATTCGTTCACTCGGATATTCCTGTGTGTGTCTGATCCATCAATAAGAGGTATATTGGTGTGTACCATC